GTCTGGAGAGAACATTACAGCTTGTGTGTGCCTACCTACAAAACTTCAAGTGCTATGTTATCCTCTGCTACATATATTTGATCGGTATGTACATAAGGCATCCAAAGAGTACACAAAAAAAAAAAAAAAAAGATGCATCAATAGATAGATAAGTAGATAGAGACCGTTTTCATAACAAGAAAGGCCAACGAATCATAATGATGGAGAGGATAAATTCTCTGGTATCCTTTCCAGCCTTTTATGGAATTCTCGACAATAGAATGTATTGTCATGTAAGTGATTTGTGTTTTAGTGTTTGGGTTTACATCTGAGTGGAAAGGTTGGAACCAATTTGGCAGTTCTGCCTGAGAGGATAATATGTTCCACATGATTGCCAAGGCAGGTCTGGAGAACCGCCAGTGGATCTACAAGCATCCATCAAGCATGAGCACAAAACCACAGGGAGCTAGTAAAACTCTCCAGCTTATTAGGTACTACTGGCTTCATGAAGAGCCTTGCAGCTTACAGCTCACTCTTTCCTTTTCTAAAGATGGACTGCGTCTATCTATAGCGTCCAAGGTGATACACCTTCGGAAAGTTAACAAGAACTACAACAGCCTGGTGTTGAAATGCAGCCCTTGTCCAGAGGGTTTTTGTACACACTTGTTGTCAGAAGTGCCAGTGTTTAATAGTGTCAGTGCCTCAGATGGAGAAGTTTCTCTCCCTCTTGGCTCTGTTTTAACATAGAATATTTGCTGTCCTAATGGTTTTACTATTGAAAACTTGCAACAACGACACTAACGTGATGAGTTTCCCTTCACTGCCTCTTCAAGAGGCTTGTAGGAAGCCAGACCAATACTTCAAGGAAGTGTTGCCCTTGCTCTCACACTAATCTAAGGCAAGAGATGGATGGAGAAGGCAGAGAGCCAAGTGTTTTTGGCAAGAATTGAGCTTCTACTTTACTCAGTACACGACAAGTTCTACAAACCAAAACCTGGAAATAGATGTGCCACACTGACCCAAACCAGACAAGTTTCAGAACTGAGTTGGGTTGCTATTCTCATTATTTTAGGTGGTCAGCTGTCTTCACTTTAGTAGAGGTTGCACAACATTTAATGTTTCTTCTTAGCGTCTCATCTCTTCCATGAAATTTTGAAAGCTAACACTGCAGCTCACCCACAGTGGCTGGAGAGAGAAGGATGAGATCATAAACCTTAAAGATGAAAAATATAAAGCATGTAAATCTCATGTCTTTCAAGACATTATGCTGAAGTCCTTTTTTTACTATTATTATTTTGGGACAGCAATGAGCTTTGGCATGCTGGCACGTGCAACACTATGCAGCTCTGTAGGACATCTCCCAGATTTGGAGAAATTCAAATCTACATCCAGATAACTATACCTCAGGCCAATCTCTACTGGCTTAGCAATAAATACAGACAGACTGGACAGTAATATAAACCAATTTCATCACTCTACACATATAATTTACTTATTCCCATCCAATCTTTCTGCATTAACAATTGCTACAAAACTGCCTCTAAGAAGAACAAGAAATAAGGGAGTAAAAAATGAATCAGTTATTGCTATCTTGTAACAATGACTGCTTTCATTTGCAAAGTAATACTCAAAAATCCTAACCAAGGCTTGAGGGTACTTCCAGATTTCACAGACAATATTTTTAGGGTTTATTTTTGTTAGTAGCAGTATTTTGTTCACTTTACTAGCCTCACTAGAAGCACGGCTGGGTATTAACTTTTGTTGACCTGGAGAGCCTCCATACCGTCCCACATTAGATGCCTAACGCAGGTGCCATGCATCACTCTGTGCCAGGTCCTGTCTTCCTCCTTTAACTCTAGAGGGTACACAGAAAATATGTCATCTATCTGTTACCTGTGGAAGAGGCACAGCCTGCCTAAATTGCACTGTGTTAGCCTTTCAAGGAAATAACTTCCCTAAAGTAATAGCCTAAATGGCACATTTAATGAAGCCAGTGCCTTTGAAGGCCATTAAAATGAGCTATTCTCTCTTCAGGATCCTAAGTTAAGGTGGGATAGATTGACACATCTTAGATTTTTAGTAATATTCATTTGCAGAAAAGCATGTTTGTCTTTTGGGGGGACAAATTATAATTTTACTTGTCCTGCCTGAAGAGAAGCAACAAACTCTTCAATATTATTTCTGCAGAAGCATATTTACAGAGCAGAACTGCATCACACTAAGTGCTCCATGATCTCAGAACAGCAATTCTGGTTCTGCAGGGAAATGCAGGAGCTCAGTGATGACAGTCACACACACACACACAAACACACACCAGCACCTTTTCACGTGCAAATATGTGGAATACAGATGGTTACAGTAAGGGCAAGGTAGAAATGCTCACCCTGACTGATGGCACTCCATGAGACTAGAGCAGTTTGACCAGCAAAGGTCAAACTAAGGCATTTTTTAACACAGGAAAATACAATCCAGCCACTCTGTCATATGACAAGTTGCTGCTGGCGTAATGACGGATGAGTGATGGTGTGCTATATCCTCATATAGAAGCTTTCAGAAACCAGGCTGTTATCACATCAGATTACTTCCTCTGAAACCGGATTGTCCAAGGAGAAAGGACACCTCTGCCTATTTTTGCTCAATGAAAATAAAGGCCATATTAACATGGGCATATGGAAAGAATTAAGCATATAATTTTAGCTTAATGTAAATTCCAAACATAGTTTCCAAAAAAAAAAAAAAAGGAGTATTTTATAGCTTTGTTGCAATGTTTTTCACTGCATAGCTGTATCTGTTTTTGTGAGCTGTATAACTGTATCATGTCTCACCCTGTTCTGTGCAAAGACAAGCAGCAATTTTCTGCTAGCTTCAGTGCTTGATGTCCTAAAAGATGTATTAAATGGCTACTTTCTAGAGATCATTACTTCCATTTTCCTTGTCTGTCAAAGGAAACAAACGAAAAAATGTATACTGAGTTGCTTTATTTGAAAAAAAAAGGGGGGGGGGCATGAATATTACTATACATTTCACAGTTTTGTGAATTCATTTGAACAAATCACTGAGGCAGAAAAGGCTGTGAACAATCACACACGCAGTCAGGTTTATGACACCTACTGTAAATGATGCCTTTCATTCTAAAACAGGTATGAATACTTGCACCAAGAATACCCCTTGTAATCCTTACAGCAAAGCACTTCCTTAAAATCCAGTTTCTCAAAAAATGCTAAAAAAGGAATTCCATTCTTTTATCCCATGATTATTTCTCAGTCAAAAGTGGCCAGTTCAGAAGCAAAACATTTATCTCAAACTACTAAACTAGCCCCACTCGGCTCTGAGGATCCCTCATGAGCTGCAGGGAGTGTATCCTCCCTCCTTCATAGATGTCTCATAGGCTTACTGTAGTTAGTAGCTTTGTTGGAGATGCCAAGCTAACACAAAATAAAACATAAAAGGACACCTTTTATCACTGTAAAACTGTAATTCTAAATATCCACAGGAAAGCTGATTTGTTAAATAAGATAATGCCACTTTGCCATAATCACTAACTAGAGAAAAACCTCAAAAGTGCCTCCATCACTCATCTACAATGTTCTTTGGGGTAAAAGAGCCTTTTAGCACTTCCCTTCAGTTTAGAAGATGAAAAGCACTGCAGATTTAAGGAGCAGCATCAGCTACCCTGATGCCCTGCTGTTATCATCACATCAGTGTCTGAGCTCTGGGAACCAATAACGGATTTATTCTGCTAGTACCCACACATTGTTTTGGGGAGCTGAGGCCAAGAAAGGTGATGTGAATTGCTCAGAGGGAGAACAACGAGCATGATAAAGGCTGCAATTGAATGCAGCCCACCTGAGGCCTCCACCAGCACTTTAGATACAAGTTTCTTCTTTCTCTTTGAGCTCTCAATCCCCACACTCTCATCTCTTTCTTGTGGTGCATTAAAATTGCATGTGCATTGAATAATGACAAACACAAGCTATTTTTTTAATGGCGTTTATGTTTATGCTCTGCAACTATTGATTTCTAATTCATTTACAGATCCATGGAAAAAGAGACTGACCTTTATTTTCTTTTTTCCTTGTCTTATTCTACCTGATACAGAGTTCTCTGGCCAAATCATAGCTTTGTAGAAATAAATAATTGCTGTGCAATGGGTTTTGTGTAACTAGAAAAATGCAACAACACAAACAAAGTCTCCTTGAATCAAAAGAGGTCTAACTAAATTAATAAGTCCTAACTGGGAGACTTTAATGAGATTCAAATAAAGAAGATTGGCTAAAAAACATCAGATGTGCTCTGGCAACAGTGATTGTCCTTTACTAAAATGATGCTTTTCAATGGAGATTGATGATATTGGCACATAGGTTTATGAAACAAACCATCAGTGTTGCCAGGGCAAAATTCTGCCACTAAACCAAACTTTTAATATTGGGATACAAAACTCATTTAGCAATGCATGCATGTGCAAGTGAAACACAACTATTTGTTTTCATTAAATATCTTCCTGAATCTCATTCCTCTTTCCTCATTCCTCTTTCCTCATACTATTATATTGAAAGAACACGCCATGTTTGGAGTAGAAAGCGAGTTTCAGATCTGTAGGGTCTTGGCTCAGCAGGACAGCAGCAAGCTAAGCTCAGCCACCCCCAGCCTGGTGGTACTGAAGGAGCTCTGCCCACAGAACCCAGCGTGAAACACCACCAGTGCTCCCAAAATCTGACACACAACTTCCCGGTTCTTCCAGACACCACCAGGTGCTGACAGCTTGGAGACTTCTGTGATGGGATTAAATGACTGTTGGAGGAGAAACTGGGGCACCACAGTCATTTCCTAGCACCTGCGCCAACTTGGAACACCACATAAGAGGTCCCCTTGCAAGGCCTAACCAAAGGTCTCTGCAGTCAACATTGTGTCTCCCGTGGTGGCAACAGGACGTGTTGTTTGGGGATAACATCTAGCCTGGCCTGTTTCTCAGGTCTCTTGGCTTCATACTCCACCAGCACTCACAGCTGCTCTATTAAGGAACATTAATGTACATAAATACATAGCATACATACATCCTGAATCCTCTTAGTGTTAATTTATGAACACATTCTCCATGAATCTCTCTTGGAAATTTTCACCCCTGCAAAAACTGTTGCTTCCTGGCAGCAAGTTGCAGAAGTTTCTTACCTTCTGGATAAAGAAGTACCTTTTAAAGTCAAACCTCCTAAAAGTGAAGTCTCCTAATAATTTTACTGAGTGTTCTTCTTCTCCTGTACTACAGATTTTGAGTGAACAATTGTCCTGCGTTCAGTTTATTCAGTTTATTTATTTTAATAAATAAAAAATATTTATTTATTTTATTTATTTATTTATTTATTTTAATAAATAAACTGAATAAAAAATAAATTAAAAAAAGATAAATAAATATATTTATTTATCTTTATTTTACATATCTCAAATACCCTCTTCTGTCGGCCTTTCTCTCCTACCTGAACAGCCCTACCATTTTTGGTCTCTATTCATAAGACACTGGTGAATACTGAACGAATCTGGTCTCAGGACCAAAGCTTAGGTGATCTAGTGACTTCCCCATTCTGAAAAGTGACCATTACATCTGACCCTTTGCTTCCTAGCCTTTACCAGATTTCAATTTGCAAAAGAAACATTCTTCAAGTCCTCTGACAATTTAGTTGACTTTTTTGAAATTCCGGAAATGTCCTCTGGATCCCCTTCATACACTTGCTTATTTGCTCCATTATACAGCAGGTTAGTGAAGCAGGACTCCCTGACTCAGATGGTACTTAGCTGCATACGCTGAGACCTTCTTCTTCATTACAGATGCTGTCATCTCACCAGGGATGGAAATTACATTCATCAGTCTATAGCTTCCATGATCTGCTGTTTGTAGGTCTGAAGAGGAGAATCAAGGACATGAACCCAAAACCACAGCAAATATGCACTGCACAGTGCTCTGCACACTTCTGCCATGGACCTGGCTCTTTGCTTGCTTTGCATTGCTGTTTGCATCCGTACTGTATCAGTAAGAAGTGGTGTCATTGCAGAGTTCTCATTCAGGGATATTGCAAAACCCATTGCACAGTTGCAAGAAAGAAAAGTGCTTCTGCACCCTTCCTACTCTTTGAAAAGCAATTCAACAAGACAGTTAGAATTTGGAGGGTTGTGTGTTTTCAATGGCAGCTTCTGGGTATTTTACTGAAATGAAGGTGGGAGCATTGCCATGTGCACAGGGGAAAGCCCACGTAACCTGTCACATCTGTGTTTATCCATTTTTAAATTAAATGATGTAAAAATGCTTATTTGGGCCTGCAGAACCTCTGAATTCAATTTAGTGTTGTTTACAGAGAAATTTGACTTTTGTATGTATGTTATCTGAGAGGCACAATTTTGTACCCAGCATCATGAAATATTTTCAAATAAATATTCTGTATAAGTTACCATAGCTTGATTTATTGTCATGGAACTCCAGTGGCTGATTTTCCTCTGCATGGGGAATTATATTTCCTCAGAAATATCAGACTGCAGAGATAAAATTTGCTTAGAAAGTGAGCGACATTTTGTGCAGTTGCTCTGTATTTTATAGAAAAGCCACTGCAAATGTAGTTTGGCATGAGAAAGAAATATGTTAGGCTCCCACTTCTTCCCACCATTAAGCAGACCTCTTTTAAGATGAGAACATGGCATAATGATAAAGCATCCCTTGATACTGTAACACATTTCATCTCAGGAGAAAAGCATCAGAGGCACATGGTGTATTAGCCACCATTTGCCTGCAGATTCCCCTGATGCTCTTTTCCAATCATTGAGCCCAAGGAGCAGCCTTGCTGAAACCTGCCTAGACTGAAATCTGTTGACAGCATTTACCTTCAGACATTTTTCATGTTGGTTTGATAGCAGCAAAAACGATCTTTCCTGCTGGCACTTACAACTCAGAGCAAAGCTGACCGCTACACCTGAGTACCCATGGCATCTCTGACAGCAGCCGGTCCTGTTTCTGCTCCAGCACCCAGCACGCACATATGTCTGTTTTGTCCTCTCCTGCACCTTGCCAACATTTGCTGGCTGGCCAGTGTGATCATTTAGAGCATTTTTATTTGTAGCTGTGCTAGCTAATACTGGGTCTGGTTTCAGCCTTTGATTCCTTGAAGAATTGGAGTCTGGCATAAACCCCTATTCTGCTTGGCCAGGTGTTTAGCTAAATGATTTCTTTCTGAACTAGGCAGTACTTTCATCTGACTTTCATCACTCTCTCTCTTTTCACTGAAGGGCTGCCAAAGAAACACAACAGGGGAGCACTGCGATCAGTGTCCGGACGGCTTCATCGGTGATGTTGTCAGAGGAGTGCCCACCTTCTGCCAGCCTTGCCCTTGTCCCCTGCCAGGAACTGCCAAGTACGTAGAGTCTTTGTTTGTCTTTGGTTTGGGCTGCTTTGGGCCCTTTGTAAGGTGGGGGCAGCATCCCTGCCTGGGTGCATGAGACAAAGCTGCTGCCCTTCCCAGCAGAGGAAAATAGGAAGGCTTCCCACTTATAATCACAATATTTGATATATGAACAAATTCAAGTTCTCCCTCTCTTATGTAGGAGAGATTACTCAGCTGAAAGATAAAAGGAAGGGGTGGGAGAGCTCTGCGACAGGCATGCTGCCACTTCAGCTGACACACAGCCACCTTCAGGAAAGAAGCTCTGAGGCCTAGTAGAAAACCAAAGATGAGCCAACGGGATCCAGGTGTCACCCACTTTTTGCCTTCTGAAGAAGCAAAAAGCTACAAACTGTAACCACTTGTTGGAGACCTAGTGGCACATCAGTAGTGCAGTTGAACGGTACATTATCAGCTTCCTCTTTCTTGAGTTCCACACTCCACAAGAAAGGCATCCAGGCAAATTGCAATGCCGGGCCCAGAAGAAATGCTATTAAACACTTGCCAATAGGTTGAGGCTATTTTTAATTGAGCTACCTACTCCCCTTGTGTGTGTGTTTGTTTTTTTTTTCTTTCTTTTATTTCTTTCCCATTCCACTTCCAAGTGGGGCTTGTCACAAAGGGGGAATTTTCTTATTGTGTTTGTTTGTGGTTGCTATAGCATTACTCATCCAGTCCTAAGGTGGGATGAACCTGCTCAGTGGCACAAGCCCAAACTGGCAACAGGACAAAACCTTTCTGGCCAAAGTCCTACAGGTCACCTCCTGGCTTTCGTGGTGAGCTGCAGACATGAGGAGAGCCATGGGGTGGAGAACAGCTGTTGTTGAAAACCTGCAGCTTTGACTAGGTTAGAGAGAAAACCCTCAAGAGACAGGGGAAGAACCTATTTTTGCTTACATTTATAAAGGCTTAGGAGGGAGGGTGCTCACAGACAAGGCTTCCTGCTTCCTCCAGTTTCAGTAGCAGAGGTAATGCCAGAAATAGTAGAAGTACAACAGTCGGAAGCAGTGCTTTCTCCTTAGCAAAAGGGATTTTTTTAACCTGTTGGGCACAAAGCAGCCACATGGGTGTAAGGAGCAGCACTGCCAACCACACACAGCCTGGGCTGCCTGCTCCCAAAACCCAACCAGGACACAGCAGGGTGGCTCAGACACACCTCCAGGCTTTCCTCCCTGCAGTGCCACTTGGCAGAGCATGGCCGCTTCTGCCTGAGCCCAGACCCTGCCTGAGCCCACAGACCACAAGGCTTTGTGGCAGTGCCCCCAGGCACAAGCAGCCCTACAGATAAGGAGCTCCTAGAGATAAGGAAGCCCTGAACCCAAAAGGTCAGCAGTGTGGGATAGGGAACAGGACTTGCTAGGAGCCTTCATGAGGAAGCTTCAACATCCGCATGCCACCCCTTTAGAATTATCCCTGTAAAAATCCACTTCAGTTTTTCAGGGTTTTCCTTGGAATCAAGTCCTGAAGGCAACATCTAAAATAGTGTCCTGACACAATTTGCCTTATGCTTGTATTTCAATAACATGCAGAAGTTTCCTGTACAGCTTCTTGCATGACAGAGACCTGACCACAGCAATAGCCTTCAGCTGGGTCTGGAACACAAATATTAAAGACTGAGCAACATTCAGTCTTGCATAACTAAATTCAAAGGCCAGCCATTTTTTCTTATTCTTGTATTTTTCCTCCATTAGTCCTACTCCATGTATAGTAAGGCAAAACAGTAATTCTAGCAGAAAGCAGAGAAGCATTAATTGCCTTAAATAAAGAATACGTAAAGGTTATTGTTTTGAACTCTGTTTCTCTTTGGAAATAACCAGTGAATCTGTAATAGTTAGACAAAGTGACCAAATCTGTAAACTGACAGACTCATCAGATACATATTTGTTCTTGGGATTCATTTGCGTGTCATCAGCTTTTCTGGCCAGACCATCTTCATGTCTACTGTCCAGGGAACTTTTGGAGTAAACCACATGAAGTGTAATGTCATCTCTTTGGAATAAAAAAGGGGGATGGGCATTACTTCACAGTCCAGCAGATGTTACTTCTTTCTAAACCTTTGGGAATTTTATGACCTTTTCTTCCCCTAAGAGGTCACAAAAAATACAAAATCTCAGGAAGGCTTCAGTCTTATTTCATAACTTAAATTCACAATGCGGTTTGTATAACTACGTGAAGGAATTAGGCTTTGTAAAAAAAGAGGAAGGCTGCCAAACTCTCATGATTTTCTTGACATGTTCTCATAAAAGCTTTACTGAACTCAATTTGTGAATTCTGCGAGAAGGATCTCATTTTGTGTTCTCTCTGGTTATATGAAATGTTTTGAGACAACACAGACCCAGTCACAGTTTTATTTGACCCTGGGTGTCCCAGTAGCTGAGAAATGCTGATGGAAAATTAAATTTTGCAGGCATTCTTGTCACCTTTCAATGCAGCTCTTTCCTGGAACAAGTAGTGTGTAGATCATGCTCTTTCCCATTGCTCTGAGTCTTTTGAAATCCTGTGCAAAAGGGATGCAAACTGCTCCAGCTGCCCAGCACAGCTCAGCATCATACTGGAACAGGAGACAGAGAGGAGGATGCAGACTTACAGTCTTGATGCTGTCATTTCTCAAGGGGAACACTACCCTTTAGGAACCAGAGGTGGTACCACTCAGGATGTTAGCTGCAGGTCTCAGGGCCTCCATTTTAGAAATCGTGGGCCTGCAGCTGACAACTACTGCCACTTAGTGTGCCAGTTGCTTCCCAGTACTGGGAACAGATCTTGAACAGATTGCAATCTAACTGGAAACACCTCTAGGATGTATGTCTTCTAACAGCAGATGTATTTAAGTCATATATATCACTGTATTTGAAGTGTATGGAATTTGCACTTTCCAAATTTGACTGCTGCTCTTTCTTGTCTCCTATTTTGTTGCACAGTTGTTAAATCCTGAAAACATCAGAAAGCAAGGAATCAATGGTTTAGAATCATGACAATGCAAATTACAGCACAAGACATTACTGCAATCAGTATCACTAAAGGGCAAGTTGGTCTCACAAGGGACCCCAGGGTCTTTCCAGATTTCTCAGAGAGACCATGGAGAATCCTCAATTACTGTAAATGAGGACAGCACCAATTAGTTCAGTTTTCCACTTGCTACTTCCAGATCAGATTTAAGGAAAATTGTGGGATTTGCACAGGAAACTACTGTACCCATTCCAGAGTCTAAATTCCTGAAGGGCTCTCTGCAGTGTCTTTTAAAAGCAATATCATGTCCCTTAAAGTACAAGAGAGGAAGCAATTAGGTTTGCATGACATACATATTTATCCAAGTCCCTGGTCTAAAACATGTGAAACAAAACCTGAAGGTGTCTCCAATCTACACTGCAATACAGAAATGTACATGTATCTGGGAATTATATAGCTCCATAGTGTTATACACTAATTAGTGCTTTCAATACTCATTAAAAAGACTAAACAAGGAGTATAGTGTACATCACATATGAAGTTTAAGGATACCTGTGAAAAAAAAAATTAGCAGTGAGGAACCAAGAGCCAGAGTTTGCACTGACAGCAAATGTCCATCATTTATAAAGTTAAACTCCCAAGTGTTTGCCATTGCCTGCTATCCTAATGATTTACTCTAATGAAATTCCAGCTTTGCAGACTCCTGTTACCGAAAAAATGGAAGCGTGCGCTGTGTCTGTAAGGAAAACTATGCAGGACCTAACTGTGAAAGGTAAGAAACTAACAGGATGACCTCCTGGTCAAAATGCCAAAGTCCAGGAGCCTTCAAAGGAATCTTTGCAGACTGGGGAGAAACGTTGTGGATGTGTATTCATCTGACTGAATCATGTTTGTCAAAGGATTTCATTCAGTTCATAATAAAATCTGTAAGGATTCGCTGTGGAGACATCTCAGGGTAGGACAGACTTCTACATCTGATGCATTTTGATCCAGTTCTTGCACTTTGTATACCCTCATGTGGTGATCTTTGTAAAAGGAATACAACTTACAAATCAAAATACAAATCAGAAACAGCAGCTGAAGTGAAAAATTGCTACCACAAAAATGCCTCTTGCAATTCCCTGCTCTGAAAAGATATCAGGCTTCTGCCAATTAAATGCTTCAAAAGCAAAGAGAAAATACCTTATCTGCTCACATTCTTAATGAGCAGATTCCTTCTTGGTTAAATTTTAAATGTACTTCACAGACATAATTAAAGCAAACAACCACAGGTCAGTGCTGCTTTTCAACTTTTCCTTATACCCACAAGCAATTTCCAGTAAATATCTTCTAAATTACAAAGTACACAAATAAATGGAGCTATGCAGAGAAATATAGCTCTCCTGTCTCGTAAAGGCCTATCTTACTCACCATGGACACACATGGACAGTGTTTCAGTGAAGAAACGTGATTATAATTCAAAAATTCTTCTTGAGCATCCAATAAATTAAAAATCATCAAACACAAAGACTGAAGGGTATAGGATAGCTCAGCCCCTGAATTTCTCAGTGCTTCATTTTTATTTTCCTTTAAGCCCCTGAAGTATTTAAAAATTCAGTCCACTGTCATTAGTGGGCAAGGTCTGAATTCAGATAATACTTTTCTAGAGAACGGAGAAAGGGTATTTTCTCCTGATGCAAAGAGAAATCAATGTGAAAAGGGTAAGATGGAAATAAATAGATAGATAGATGATAGATAGATAGATAGATAGATAGATAGATAGATAAGTGAAGACTTTTGCCCTTATAGAGGGTGTAAAAATGTCAGCCTGTTACCTCCACAGCACTAGCACAATGACAGCAATAGTGAAAGCCCTCTTGACAGATGGCACAAAAATGTGGGGGGGAAAAAAAAAAAAAAAAAAAAAAAGCCTTCTTTCCAGGCCTGTGGCTGTATGCTTTTGTTCTTAAGAAATGTCAGATGTGTGCCCAAAGGATAATGCAGACAATTAAAAGGTCAGTGAGGTTTCCTAATAGTTATTAAAATGTCATCCTAAACTACAAGCAAATCAAATTGTATGAAATGAGCAGTATATTTATTGCAGCAGCAGAGAATGGCAGCAGCTTTCTTTTCTAACAGCCACTACTCGGCCTTACACGCTGCAGCTGTCTCAAGGAAGGCAAAGCTGCGTAGATGGGTTAGGAAAAGCTACCGAAAGAAATCAACCTGCCCTGGTCACTGGGTTAAGTCCTTGACAAGCTGCTAGAGTAAGTGGCAAGCAGTGACAAAGGTCACTTCCCTCCTCCTGGATTGCTGGTCCTGCTCCCATCTGTGACAAATAGGACAAAAAGCATTTCAAAGACTAATGAGAGATGCCTTGCTCATCCCTGTCCCCTCGCCAAAGAGCAAGCCCCTGCCCTGTTCACACTGCTGCTGGGCATCACCACCACTGGCTGCTGGTGCTGGCAGCAGTCGCAGTGTAGGAGCACCAGATGAGAGGGGACATTGCCCCTGCCCTTCCTGCATCCCACAGAGCAGCTCATTTCCCCAGGGCAGAGGAAGGCAAGGTCCCACTGCCCTTCATCCCTCCCTCGGGGCAGCGAGCTGCGGATACACTCCTTGGGCAGTGCCTGGCAGACAGCCCGCTCCATTTCCCCTGGTGCTTGAGTAGGAGGTTCCTTTGTGCTGCTCCAAGGACTTGGCACAAGTCTAGCTGTTTTTTTTAATGTGTGCCAGTAGACAGTGTAGTGGAAAGCCTGTGCTAGGAACTGGGAAAACACACCTCCCAGTTCAACATTTGCTCCTGGACTACAACGATAAAGCACTGAGGTGGTAGCAGCTGAAATCCAGGTTTTCTTAGTGCCCAAAAGTTAAAAAAGATAATTGAGCAAATGATGCTTTAATGTCCAAAGTGAATAGATGAGAAAGGTCCTTTTGGCATTGCCAGTGAAGAGGAAGTTAATTTTTTACTCACAAATAATTGCAGGAAGCAAACATGGCTGTAAGATGAAACAAAGTTTAACTTAGCAGCTTTAGTATTTCCACAATGCTGATAAATCACTAGGGAGAGGAAGTATTCTTAGCAACAAAGAGCCCCTTATTGATACAACAGAGGAAAAAGACATTTACCACAGGCCTCTGCTTTTTCAGACCATAAAGTGCAGAGATGGAGCAATGTTTCCATCCATCCATCCCTGCTCTTCCCACATGCTACCAACCATTCAAAAGAGGCCAGCCACAGTCCAAACCTGTGACATGCCCTCAGTGGCAAAGGGAAGGAGAAAGTGAAGTTGACACATTTATTCACACTCTAAAATTTCCTATTTATTTTAGACAGCTACTCCAGATGAGGAGATATGGCTAATAAAAGTGAGTCAGATGGTCATAAAAAGCAGCATTCACTTCCAGGCCCACAAGTGTATCTGTGAGGATGTGAGCAACTGTCACTGCATTTCTGGCAAGTGAACTCAATGTCGTATTTCAGAAAATTAAAAAAAAAATCATCTTGCCTTCATAAGAGGGCAGAAACTGTAGGCCTGATGGGAATCTTTGCAGTTTTTGCTCATCACTGTCTGAAAGCCAAAGCTGGCTAGCAGTAAGCAAAGCACCCTTCTCACCCAAGCATTGCTCAGTGGCTTCTGTGAGTTGGTGGACATGTGAAACAGACAGGCATTTGGAAAATGCCTAAACACAGAAAATTAAAGGGAAATGCTGCAAGATTTTGAGAGTTCAGAATAAATCATATAGTACAACCATTTTTTTTTAAATCAGAGGTGCATGTTTTTCTTTTTTAAACTTCATAAACATTTTGAAATTTGGAAAATATTACTATCCCACGTTGTCTGAAATATCCAAAAATTATAGTAAGCCTTTTGGCATAACTATGTAGGAGAATCACCCATCACTGCCTGCTCTAACTCCCATGGAAATAAGGAGTGACTCCATCAAAGTCAGTTAAATCACAATCTTTACATTCAGCATCATATTCATGTTTCTTCGAGGGGTGCAGAGAACTCCAGGTCACACTTTTATTCTTTACATCTGGGTCACCCAAGTGATAAGATCTGCACCGAAAGTTCTGGCAGTGCTGCAAAGAGACAAATAGACTCTTTGCCATTGGCAAAGGCAGTATTTGAGGCAGCCAAGTGGTTTGTATTAGGATGCTTAATATTTTATATGTGTTTTTACTGTGGGGGTTCAGGCCTGGAACATGAACAAAGCAGCACCGAGGAAATTACTTTCTTTATTAAAAAAAAAAAAAACAAAACAAAAAAAAAAAAACCTTCAGCAAATGTAGGAACAGATCAAAACTGGAAGCTCTTATCAGATCTCCCACATTTTCATTGCTCAGACACAGCAGAACACAGACCTGTCTATGTTCACATTTTAGGAGACAACAGGCCTCAGCCCAGGTCCCCAGCCAGAAACTTGGGGAAATTAAACCAAACTGCCTGAGAGCTCACCCTCCCCACCCACAAACGGCAGAACAAACCGTGTCTGAAAACAGGGCTTTATGGACAGGAGAAAAGACAAGGACAACAGGGTGATAAAACAGGATGACACAGAATACTCCTTACCTAAATCACACTGACAGCCATTCAACCCTCTGATATCTTCAGTGAGCAATCACTGTGCCAGCTAGTTACCCCGTGGTCATTCTTCATCCCCAGTTTGGGGCATGAGTCCTCAGCCTCTGTAGCGCAGGCTACGAGGTCACGCATGCTCCCGCAGTGACACCATGGTCACAGGCTGTCCCCATCCTGCCAGCTGAGCCCCCCAGTCCCTCTCTTTCTCTTTCTCTCTTTCCAAACCTCCAAAGGCATCCTCCACTCCTCCTGGGCTCTTACACTTCTGGCCTCAGCCACCAGGCTAACATAGAACAAATTTGAACACAGTGGGGATGTAAAGAGAGGCTGTTTTCATGCCTGTTTGATTTTGCAAAAGCCAGGCGCCATCCCAATAGCATGTCATAAATGTATTTATTCAGCCCCCTTCCGGTCAGAGCTCTGGTATCTGCATTATAACGAAAATGTCTGAACTTCCCCTGAGTTTCCACATCATGAAAGGCAGTCTCTTGCCCCAGCTTCCTATATAACACAATATAGCTGGAGAGATCCAAAGCTGAAAAGACGAAAATAAACACTGGGACTGCATCTCTGCCAAGGTCATGCTGTCATATATTTTAAAACAATGGGAACAAATCATTGCACTGCTAAGGATACAAAAAAAAAAAATGCAGACTGAAGTGATTGAGATACCAGGAGTGTTCAAGAAGGGAAAAATAAATAACTGTACAGATTGAGACTAGAGCACAAAACAGCCTCTGAAGAAATACAGCTCCTAATTTGCCTTCTGTCCTTTTGTAGTTGCTGACCGTCATCAATTCATGGGGACATAAATAAGGTCAGAGAAAAAATGCTACCACAGATGGCAATGTCATTGCAAGTCGTCTCTGGGCTCTCTTTTCCTTTCAGGTGTGCCCCTGGTTACTATGGGAACCCTTTGCTAATTGGAAGCACTTGTAAGAAATGTGACTGCAGTGGCAACTCAGACCCAAACCTGATTTTTGAAGACTGTGATGAAGTGACCGGCCAGTGCCGCAACTGCCTGCGCAACACCACGGGTTTCAATTGTGAACGATGCTCTCCGGGGTACTACGGGGATGCCAGATTTGCTAAAAACTGTACAGGTATTGTCTGAATCATGTCTTAAAACATCTGGGAGTGGGTCTGGGAGACAGAGGGTGTTCCTGGCCACCTGGTGGGATGATTTGGGTGCTCCATTGGGTCAGCCCTGGCACTAGCCCCCTGTCATTGCCCATGAGCAAGTCTCAGAGTACAGACCCCAACATCCCAGCTAAATGCCTGGGCACAACACTGCCTACATCTTGTTTTAAACAAGGTTCCTTGAGCTTCCTTTGTGTAGACACATCACCTTTGTTCATAACACTCACACAACAGCCAAAGCATGCAACCACCATGAACATCTGAAATCGCCCTGGGTTCAAGGTATAGGGCTATAGGCCTTGGGGCATTTGTGATGTCTTGATCAAACTTACACCCTTCTTGAAACTCACTGTACATCTGGACTTCTTACTAGCTTATTATGAAGTGCTAAGGCGTGTTTGGGGACATGGAGATTGGAGGCCAGGAGGATATTCTGGACTCAAGTGTCTTATGTGCTGCAGTCTTCATTTATGGGCATATTATGCCACTAGCAGTCCCTTCTAGTTTTGTTCCTGTCTCTAGGATTAATTCACATCTTTAAGTCACGCACTTAAATTCCATTTACACTGAATGAAAGAGATGGTGCCCACACACAGCAACACAAAAAGCCAATCCCGGGTATCCAATCCAGCCAAAAAGACAATGGTTGTAGGGAGCAGTGTGTCTCAAAGCTTAGTTCATGCTTGGATCTGGCCACCCAACCCAGGCCTGCAGTTCAATCTCTTGAGGTTGCAAAAGCAAACCCTATTTATGTGCTTCACTGCCTAATTCAGCTCACCAGAGATGACTTAACAGCAGTTTTCCCATATAGAATGACAGGATGTAGCTATAGATAGCAGTTTTCAGCCTCTTCTCAATAAATTTCTTAGCCATTTGTCCTTCATCCACACTTCCAAGCTTTCTACAAATGTCACTCAGAAATAAAGGTAAATTTAGAACCTTTCTCCACCAATAAATCACAACAGTGTTCAAAGCCTTAATTCCATATTAAAAGCTTGGTACCTCACAAACAAATATATGAAATATTATCAGAAGTACTTTTGAAATGAATTCACTCTAAACATTTCTGTAAAAAGCTAAGAATTATCAAGTTAAATAAGAAGACAATTTGGTTTTCTTGAGCAGCAACCTAATCCAAATTTTAGTCTTAGAACTTAGAAATTTTAATCTTGCCAACTGTTTTTGGGGCTAGATAAGATCCTGTCATACAGGTGAGACTTTTCTTTCACTTCTTGATAAAAGAACTAACAAATGAAAGCATTGTAGATGCAGGAGCTGGGAGACACCAATTCATACTTGTGGAGAGATCAAAAGGTTGATTACCCTACAAAGTTCATAACCAAATTGTGTTCTCACATTAGTACAAAAAATGAGTAGTTCCACTAACTGTGGTTCAGTTTCAGAGAAATACTCCAATGTTAGCACATCATGTTTAACTTTGAGGCTGTCTTACACATTTTAATTGAAAATACCATGAATGTTCCATGTGGAATGTAAATACAATGACAATTCATAGAGAACAATGAATGGGCTGCAATAAAATAGCAGTAAACAATTTGGTTATATGAGATTCTGCTGAAACCATGAATCACAAGAGCAAAATGAATGCCAGATAAGTCACTACTGTTTTTCTGTTCTGCTAGAGATTTTGTTATTCTATCAAAGTGTTCCAAGAATATTTTAATCTTTAAAATAATATATTTTAGAAGGTCAATTAAATCCTGAGAGAGACACTTTAGAGTAAAAATAATACTTTTTGAAAAGCCACTTGTTCTGGCAGTAGAAATGCAGCTTACTCAAGTTAAAAAAATGTAAAACCCCACATACTCTTCATCATAAGTGGTAGGAGATATTTACTTTTTGATATGCTCAAGCTGATGATGGAATTGGAGTCCACCATCAATCCCCCATAGCTGGAAACCTTAATTTAGTGGGAGCCTGACACAGCATTGAGAAATTCCACAGGCCTGCAGAGAGATATGTAACTAATAATTAACTTCAGCTGCACTGCTTTCCTTAGCCCATCTCCCCAGCATCACCCTCTCTAGAAGGTGATGTTTTGGGACTACTGTTTTTCACCAGCTGGGAAGCTTTGAACAAGTCTCTTCAGCACAGGCTTTCTGCTTTTTTTTCTCATATTTAATATTTTTTTCTCATATTTTTTTCTCATTTTTAACCTGAGAAGCCCTTGATTTTGGTTTGACTATCTATGCAGAATCCTATGTATAATTATTACATTGGTCTTGGGATGGGAAAAGTGGGTTGGACGTTTTGAAGACTATTAATTTTAAGACCCTTTCTTTTTTCCCCAGAATGTAACTGTGGAGGGAGAATGTGTGACAGCCAGACCGGAGAATGCCTCGCAGACAGTCCTGTAGTTTCTACTGGCACAGACTGCCCCACCATTAGTAAGAATAATACTATGAGAATACCAAAAGTGACTGCTGTTCTTGTATTTCAATGCTTGCAGATACTAACTTAAGAGCTTGGTTCTGCAGTGGGCTTGGCACTTATTCCTTGATCCTGCAGTGCACTTAAACGTGAAGATGCGCAATGTCCTGCTGACTGTGTATTTAAACATATGCTCAAGTGCACGTGAGTGCACAAGTACGTTCTGCTATACAGACTGAATATTTAGCTACCAACTGTGGAGCAGTAGAGATGTATCACCAAAGCCACTTCTCTAAACATAGAAACACAGTGACTGCAAAAAAATTTTCCAGCCCTAAAAACTGCCATGACTACTTTATTGCCACGACTACTGTCTTGCATTTCACTTCAGTTTTTTCTAGTTGTACATCTAGTATAAATTGTTACTGTTGAGAATTTGACATATACACATCAGTCAGTTGCTTTTCTGCTCTCTCTTATTCTAACTATAGGAAGCTATAGGAGTTTCCAAAAGTACTATGTTGTAACTACTAGTAAGCATTGATTATTATATTTTTTAATGCTAGTATTATTACATCTGCGGTTTAATGCAGAACACATAGGACATACAGGCTCCTAACCTGTTCCCAAGAAGAAGGGGATCCCAAAACGCAACCAGAAGGAGAACATTTGGCAGCTTCTGCCAACAAGAATACAGAATAGATGATACAAGCAAAAGTTCCTGTAGGAATCTGTTTCATGTTCATCTAAATCTCTAATTTTACTGGTGGCACAAATATCACTAAAAACAAGGTGGCACTGGAGGCATTCAGCCTGAACAAGGATGTAGTGATGTGCAAGCTTAATTCAAATGTGTTGCAACTGTGCTTTTAGAAGTTGTCTTCCTAATCAAATATGCATCCAACTGTCCAGCTGTTGGACATCCTTACTTCTCATACCACCAGATTTTAAATACAGAATTCTGTCTTCTGGCAAAATGAACTTGTTTTTTCACCACCACCACCCCCCATCTGTTGTTCTTTGGGACAAAAACAGGAGGAGCCTCTAGGGAATAGCCAGGAAATGCCTCATCTCGCTCTCCCTACTGATTACAGAGATGCCTCGACAGCCCCTCAGAGCAGTCCCATCTGGTGCTGCTCAGCTGGAAGCACTGTGACTGTGTTGTGGGACCTTTGGAAGTGGTATATGAAAGTGAAAAAAAAAATTGTATCCATCAGGACCCATCAATGACAAAGAGCAGGAACCCAATGGGGCAAGGGCACTCAAAAGTAAATTCAGGATGTCTGTTGTTAACTGATACAAACACTAAAAGAAAAAAAATGACGCTTTTATTTTCTTATCAGGCTGCGATAAATGTATTTGGGATTTGACAGATGACATCCAATTAGCAGTCCTGGCTATCGATGAAAGCAAAACAACTTTACTGAGCATTTCTACGGGTGTTGCAGCTCAAAAACGCTTGAATGACCTGAACCTCACTGCTACCTATCTCCAGGTACAAACAGTGGTGATGTTTCACTTTTTTAATTTAATTTCATTATATGAATTTCCACTCCATTTGCTTAAATTTCAATTCCTGCCCTCACTAAAGAAACTTTCTTCATGGGTGCACTGACTTCTTTTCCTCCACACACAGGCAGCGATGTCTGAAAAAAAGAACCACTCTGTGACTTGGACCTTCCAAGTTGATGATGCTGCAGATGAAATGAATGATCTCCTGAGAGAGGCAGAGACCCTTGAAGACCAGGTTTGTTCACAGCCTCCTGCCAGAGCACAGAGGCTTTGCAGCTTGTCATATTCACATGCTGGCACAGGAGGCTCACCAAACAAGGGTAGCTGAGAAAGCTTTCCATTTTTAAACCTTCTACTTTACTTAGGCTCAGAATTAGAAGTATAAAATCAAGTCATCAAACCTGATGACTTGATCTTCTTGAAGATGACTTCATCTTCAGATTCAATCAAGAAGATGAATCAAGTCATCTTCTCAGAAAAGGAAGGGAGCAGGGCCAAAGTCTGCTGAGCATGGTCAGAGGTTTATCTCCTCCCCTCAGGACCCAAGTTCCCACCTCAGTCCCTACACCCCAGGCACAACATTTGATCTGAGGTATACACACTGCCTTAGTATTTCAGAGCAAAGTAACCAACATTAAAGTAATTTGGACTGACTTTGGGAGCCCTTGTACTATATTTATTTTACATGTACGCCCTTGTAAAAATCCATTTAGCCTGATTAGACACTTCACAATACACTATGAAGCTGCCAGTGTAAAAGCCTTTTGAGGTACCCACTAAGACAGAAGCTGATCAGTACTCAAGATATGTTTTAACACAATTATAATCATAAATGTTATATCCTCATTCAACTGACAAGCTATAAAATTAAGGTTATCTACTCTCAGCTCACATAACACTTCTACTGCACCCTAAACGAATACTGATATATGTTAAGAGAAGAAATAAGGTTCGAAAATTGTTTCTCCTCTATTTTAAACAGGTATTATTATCCAGTTTTCTGTTGCTGCTATATATATATATATATATATACATATAGTGAAATACATCATGTGATGTTATTCCCAAGCAGAGATAACCACAGCTGCAGTATGACTAGAGTATATTTCATGCTTATTGCAAAAAGCCAGACCTTGTATTCACTTACAATTCCTTCACGAGACAAATTTATACCTTAGGCTAAAACTGAGATACAGGAGCAAGAAGAAGAAACACAAAGGAAGAGAAAAAAGGGTTGTATGGAGAGGTGGAAGAGAAAATGTGAGGGTTAGTATTTTTTAATCGTCACTTAACAGAAAGGGCACTGCAGAATTACAGACTGTGTGTTCAAAAGAGAGGTTTGAATAAGAATAATAAATGGGATCTGAAACTCCCAGAGTCTGCTGGGGATGAGCTTAGAGTAAAATCACACAAAGCTCAATCCTAAATGTTTGGCAGAGCCCTGGGGGACCCATGCACCTCTCCTTCCCAGGCTCTGGGCAGATTCCAAGACAAGTCTCCCTGTGCCAGTGGAAATTTGAGGGTAACTGAGAGCACCCCTCACTCATGCTGCTATGCTTCCCATCAAGTTTGTGGCAATTGGGAAACCTGTCTCAGTAATTGCCCATGCAATTAATAGTCAATAAAATGTTTGGTGAGGAAAGAGCATTATGCAAATGTGTTCTGCAAAAGGCAGCTCCATCGCTGCCTTCCAACTCACCCTGGTGCCACTGAAGGCTGCGTGGCAGGAGGGAGGCTGCAGCCATCACCCCGGTCTGGTGGGATTAAATAGGCATAAAGCCAGCACAGCAGCAGCCTAAAATCTTCGTGGCTTATCTCCCAAACTCAAACTGGTTTTACAGTGGGGATTCTTGCTGCTGCAGCCCCAACAAGGGCTTTAAACCAAACACCTTGCTATTGGCACGCTTGTGGTGCTGTCTTACATGTGCACACACACACTCCAAGCCCAGGAAATGTTGAGAGTAGCCGTATTTCCTCCTCCTTCCTGAGACATAACAGTGAAAATTAAATCCAAGGACTCCCAAAGTTAATGACTGTTTAGGAAACACGATAACTGTGCCATGGTTCACTTCCCTTACATCCTCACCTAGTGCCTCACCATCACCGTTTGGGGACCATGTCGCCTCGTGCCTATATAGGGGAACACAGAATGGTGTACAGCCTCCACCATAATATAGGATAGGAGTGTGGCTATGCTCTTCAGGGCATTTTGAACCCTGACTCTCATTTTCTTAATTTAACAAGTTGCATAACTGACAGCCTCGCAGGAGGGAGACAGTGATCTAAAAATGGTGGGGAGCTTCACACCTTGTTCTTCAGTCTATATGTTTACTCAGGAAATATGATACACAGCAAAATGATCCAGCCCTGCTGAATGCCTAGGAGACTCAGCAGATGGGAGCTTTACAACTGTACATAATTTATGGCAATTTGATTGCAGCAAATGATGGATAAATATGGGACAGATTTTAATCTCTCACTCTGCAATTCTGAAAATACCGACAAGACAGCCCTTCATTTCAGACTGTAAATGTTACTTTATATGATAAATGGACTTTCACATACTCATCAGGAGAAAGCAAAATGTGTGTTTACACTGCTCATTGCCACACACACATATGGATCTGAAAAAAAATCTAATATCTTGCTCACATGGTTTATTCATAGGGAAATCAAGCATCCAGCAAAGGCCTACTGATACAGAAGGAAACCACGAAGACCAACAACCGTGCTACACAGCTCATACAGCAGCTCCATAATATGAAGGATAACATTCAAGGTAAATAGATTTCTTTCTGGTTCAGCTCAATGTGAAGCATGTGTTAATGAAACCTCCAGCAAAAAAATGTCATTGCACCTGGGCACTCTCACAAAGCAACCCACAGGCTTTAAACATAAAGCTCTTAGAACCTGCAATGCCATGATGAAAAGTTGTCTCTCTTCAAAGACAACTGACGCTATGGGTTGATTTGGTCTGACAACCAGAATAAGAGCTTCTCTTTTTTTCTCTCTCTGAAAGAGAAAAATAATTATAAATAGGTTTACATGGAATACTTCAAAGTAATTCAATTTGTAGTCTCTGATTGAATAGCTGCTGAAGGTATTTATATAAACTTGTGGAGAAAAAAAAAAAAAAAAAAGAGCTGGTATCAGACTAGGGCTGAGTGCAGCCACAAACACAAGCACAGGATGGGAAGTGAAAGTGCTTAATGGCTTCCCTGTTAGAAGATTCATGCAAATGCACTTTTCTGATCATGCTGGTAAATAATGGAAGGCATGCGAACAGCTAGACAGATTTTTTTTAAAAAAGCACTTTTCCTTTTGAACCCACAGTAGTCAGTTAGACCTGACTAACTCTGGTGATCCCTCTGTTGAGTTTTACTTCTGT